ATATATATATATATATATATATATATATATATATATATACAATTTTGATATTTTAGAATGTCTGACTGGTTATATAGTATGTACATGTAAAAAGCATATACTCCTATAAAATATTTATAAACATGTATTAAATATCATTTTTTATATTACACATTTGTAATGAATGTTTAAGTTTATCATTCATTTTAAATTCATATATTTGAGCCACGATTCTGCCACATTGAAGATGTCTTGCTGTCTACAGTCTACATAGGCAGCTGACATCTTAATGGAAATCGAATCTCATATATATATATATATATATATATATGTGTGTGTGTGTGTATGTGTGTGTATGTAAAAAAATGTATTTGTTGTTAACATGTTACTATTCTAACAGTGTGATGCATAAAAATACACAGCACATTCAAATATAGTGTAAACAGTCTATTTTTTATTATTTTGAGGTGAATTTTATTAATACTTTTTAGTATAAATTCTAAGTATATATACATCAAACAATTTCTCTCGCTTTGTCTGCCAAATAAAATGCATTATTTTTTCATCCTAGATGGCAAGCACGGTGCATGCTTTTTATGCGATGCTACCTTTGAAAGCCAAATAGAAGGTATTTTAGAATAATTATGCTGCCTACCTTTTGGAACAACCTACATGACAGGAATGTGTCTATAATGCCTTTAGATGCTGCCTACGTAGGCAGTTCACTAGGTTTTGAAACAGAGCCAATTGGGAGTTTTTTGATGCTGAACTCTGCCAGTCGTAATGGATGCATGTTTTTGAAAGCAGATGTTGACATTATATCAATGTGCACGAGTTGAGTTTGGTCTCTTATTTGGGTTTATCGTGTCCTCTGTTAGTGCCAGCACTGTGGGGAATCTTTTAATGCCAATGGAGGAGTCTTTGAGCTCCCTTCAAATGCTTGAATTATAGGAGTCCTACACATCTGTGCTGAGAGATTAGGCTTTCAACCGATGCCCTGAATGTGATGCCATTGTTGCCAAACCATTTTTTCCCCAGCAAATAAATAATAGAGGAATAGTATTGTGTGACCAAAATCCTATATCACAGTGTGAAAAGTTTTCGAGCAGGATAACAGTATCAGCATGAAGTCGAGTAAATGGAGACATAACTATTTCTGTGTTTGTGTCAGAGGGTTTTTGTCTATTTATATCGAGATGTTGCACAATAAGTTGAACTAATGTGTTGTCTGCCAAATTCCCAAAGCTCATGATGTCTAGATGCCTCGTACTGATGTGGGAGAAGTTGTTTTTGGCTCAAACATAAAGATGTATTTTTCTCGCTACTTAAAGATTGACATGCTCAGTACTCTTGTGAGTGAGGATACTATACTCTGTGGGTGCACATGACTTATTTTTTCTGTTTTCTGCAGTGATAAAAATGAAAAGAAACAAAACTCAAATATCTGAGACATATTTACAGCACATTACATCATATATATAATTTATAGTTGAAATCACATTATTATGATGAGTAGAATATAACTATATACATTGCTGTTTAAAAGTTTTGGAGTCAGTGGGATTTTTTTTAAACAAAATTAATACTTTTATTAATTAAGGCTTCATTAAATTGATCAAAAGTTACAGATTTATAATGATTTCTGATTCAAACAAATGCTGCTTTTTTTAAATGTCTATATATATCAAATATTCTGAAAAAAAAAAAATGTTTCCACAAAAATATTAGCAGCCCAACTGTTTTCAACT